AAAGCAGTTTCCTCCTGTAAAGTTGAAGTTGCTACAGACTAGTTTCCAGGGGAACAGATATCTCTTTGGTGAAGGAACTGATTCTTCATCTCATCACAGATACACTGTACACTGCTATTTCAGTAAACATGCAGATATTTCATACATTTACCCGTTCATGTGTACAAGGTCTCAGAAAAGGTTATTGAGTTTCTACTTTGTGCCAGAAGCAAAAGGAATCAAGTTGTGGAACTTTATCCACACTGTCAACCTTTTCTTTTTATATTTAATATTTAGTACAGGTCTATAGGGTCTCACAACTTAGATCAGACTTGTAATCCTCCTGTTTTCAGCCTCCCAAGCGCTGGGATTACAGCCAGGTGCCACCACGCCCAGTCTCAGTTGCCATCTCAGTGGAGGATTGTACCCTAGTCCCTGCCTCTGCCTAAGTAGGGCTTTAGTCCTCTGAGCTATTTTATGGTTTTTTTTTTTTTTTTTTCTCTTCTGTATTTTAGGGAAGGGTCTACAGAGTGTTCAGGGTCTCACTACTAAATCCAGACTCCTAGTGATCCGCCTGCTTACAGCCTTCCAAGAGCTGAGATTACAGGTGTGCACCACCACGCCCATTCTCAATTGCCATCTCAGCAAACCCCAAGGCCCAGGGATCAAACCTCCAGCCTGCCTCTGCACCTACTTGCAGGTGCTTTAATCCACTGAGCTATTTGGCTGGCCCCATATTTCTTATTGTTTAATGTTTGTATGTGAAAAGCAGTTCTTTTAACTTCATTGATACTTGTTAAGTGAATAACAGTTTTTGATAATTGGGTTCTCTTGTTTTTTATGGTTTGTACTTAAGTGAAGGAAAACTTGCCCAGAGGTTGAAATGTCATTGCTAAAGTACTCTGATAGAAGGATTGGAAGTTCCAGTCCAACTTAGGCAGCTAGCAGTTTAGTGAGAGCCTATCTCAAAATTAAAACAAAAAATAAAAAAGAGCTGGAGAAGTAGCTCAGTACAGAGGCCCTGGATTCTGTCTCCAGTACCAGAAAGGACCTGTCCCCCCAAAAAAGGAAAGAAGAAAACTCTGTTCCTGGAGGGGTAGAACACATGTTGACCACAAGGTACAACAGGAGCTTCTTTCTTTGCAAAGGCTTGTATTTAAACATGGTTGAGTCTTGAGCCTTATCAGTAAAGGGCTGACTTCAGTGCTGCACTAGGTATGCCTGGGTTTCCGTGAAGAGTTGACTTTTTTTTTTTTTTTTCTCCTCTGAGGTAATTTTTTAGTTTTTTTTTTCCTATAGTGCTGGGGATAGAATTCAGAGCCTTGTATGTGTCAGGCAAGAGCTATACCACTTAGCTTCATCCTAGCCTCTTGTAGGGTCGTAAGATAGGTTGATAATGTTTATTTCATTATATCTGGGAAGTTAATATGAATATTCTACTTCATACAGTGATAATGCTTTTTCTCAAAACAAAACTTCTGTGGATGATTTTGAACTTAAGGATTTTGGAAATGATTTTTGTGGAACCGGGGATTGAACTCAGATCCCTGCGTTTGCCAGTCAAGCGCTTAGCCCACTGAGCCATCTCCCCAGCCCCTTGGAAATGATTTTTAAAAGTGAGAATTGCCCACATCTGAGGTGATGTCAGTATTTGCAGTTTATGAACTACCGTTAGATTGTACTCCAATCACATAATGATTTCTGTTGTTACCGGTTTTATACCTAGAAAGTTCCTGGCTCAGATAGGTAAGCACAAGTCCTGTATTAAAAATCATTTGATAGTAAGAGACCTGTTCTTATATTGATAAGACATAGCAACAAAGTCTGCTGCTGATTTTGGACAGTAGGGCATTACTGTGGCTCAGTCCATATGGGAGAGAGCCGAGGGGTCTAGGTGACTATAAAGCTGTATTGGAGAACTGCAGTGTGATTTTGATACCACAGGAAATTAATAATGTCTTAAGCAGCATACAGTGTTGAAGGAGAGAGGCTTATAGCTGTGCTCCTCCCCCCCTTTTTTTGGCGGAATCGGGGATTGTACTCAGGTCCTTGCACTTCCAGACAGACGCTTATTCTACTGAGCCATCTCCCCGGCCCCTGCTTTCTAACCACTTGAAACTTTCCCTTCTTTTGCCCTGGATCAACATTTATTTAGATTAATAACAAATCATATTTCCCCATCAGGGTTTGTCAAACAAGAGGCTCCGAACCACCTGTTTTTGAGTGAAGTTTTATTAGAACAAGGTTGTGTTCATAAGTTTACATATTTTCTGCAACTGCTTTCCTGTTTCAGTGGCAGTGTTGTGTATTTCTTACCATTCTAGCTCTAAAGCCTAAAATATTGGGCCTTTTACAGAAAAAGCTCTCCAGCCCCTTGCCCAGTAAACTAGGACTTAGGTGATGAGGGAAATTGAAGTCATGCCAAGAGGAGCAGCGAAAGGGACATGGGAATGGATAAAGGGAAGATTGGGGTGTAACTGGGAGAGCAGTCTCCAAGTATTTGGAGGCCTATTATTTTGAAGAAAAATTGGACTATTGCCTACTAATTTGCCAAGCAAAATGAAAACATAAGATAAGAAATACAGGGTGGAAGAAGCTTATCAGTGTATAGGAAACTTGTTTTAACATGGGGTTATATTGCTTTGTAAGAAAGTAAGCTTTGTTTTGCTTTTGGTTACCAGAGGCATTCTAGGTCAACTGACTACTTTTTACCCATTCGCCTAGATGAGGATCAAACATACAGTGCAGCGTTTGGATAGACTTTCTCTGAGCACTCTTGTGGCCTTGGAATGATTCTCCTAAACCCAGGTTGAAGTCCTTAAATGTTTTTCCAGGGCCTTGCAGATTACTGAACAAAGCAAGCCATACTAGGTGTTAACTGGATTGGTTACCAGCTTCAGGTTTTCGGGAGTATGCCAAAATATCATATTAAAGCAGAATAAAAGGACATTTGACAGACATTAGCAAATATCCCAAATCTAGTTTCATACCTTTGGAAGCTTATGTATTTTTTTCCTTATGTATGTGGAAGATTTAAGTTATTCCTCTTGCTGTTGATTCACAAGGCCGTTTAGAGTTTCTTTGTGTATACCGTAACTACTCAGGTGCATGTGTAAGGTGAGAGCACTGTGTATTGTCCGGGCTTATTGTTTGCTGTTTTACAATCTCATATTAATCTCTCCTTGCTTTATTTGAGCTCATTAGATAGTATTGGATGTCAACTGAAATCCAGATAGACCTTCTTGTGTATAGTTTTATATTTTTATCTGGCTTTTATATGGGTCTCCTGAAGTAGAGATTTAAAGCTTCAAAATTTAAAAAGAGCTTTTCATATGAGAATACCATCCTCTAAGGACTTTGTTTGAGATCTGAATTAAAAGTTTGAAAAGCTGCTCAATGATTCTCATTCAGTGAACATTTGAAATTAAGAGCATTTTAGCTTGTGTACTGTATTAGGAGTTCGTGAAATGGAGGGAGTTGGAGGGGAGAGATAGAGAAAGGGAAGAGATAAGTTAAGTCATGACTCCTAGGGGTTTCCACACCTGTGTACACAAATCAGTTACCATGTCCTTTTGAATTTTTATCAAATAATTCAGTAATTAGGGAATAAGCTCCATTGCCATACAATCCTAGTATATTTTTATCTCCTTTGCTGATTTAGGAAATCTGTTTTCCTCCCGTACATGGGTCTGTATTCTCTTGGTGCTCAAAACTTATAATAATAATAGCTTCATTATGTTTACTAAGGGCCAGGTAGTGTTTTAAGTGCTTCACATATATTATTACCTTTCCTAATCCTTGTGATTGTCCTTTGATGTAAGGGCTATCATACTTTATAGGTGAGTAAATTAAGAAAAGAGATAACTTGCCCAGGGCAGTGTAGGTAGTAAGTATGCCAGTAAGGTTATCAAGGGGGAAAGCTTCACACCCATAGGTGAGATGGTTTAGAGACGTTGTATGGTCAGTGTTCAACTGTAACAGTGTGTATTTTACTGGTCCCGCGTAATAACTGAGACTATGTAAGCAATATATATATATTTTAACTGAAGCACTATATTATAAAAAAAGTTAATTGAGAGGGAAGGGTGAGTCATTGATTATCCTGGTAATTTGGACTTTGGTTGAATATATATGAATGAAACAACCACAACCATTGTATGACTTTGATTTGGGTTTAGCCTTTAGATTACCCCTAATTGACCCCCCCCCATTATTGGAGATTGAACCCAAGACCTTCACATTGAGCTGCATCCCCAGCCCTTTTTCCATTTTGTTAAAATTTTGAGACACATTCTCATTAAGTTGCCTAGGCTGGTTTGTAGTCTTCTTGTCTCAACTTCCCAGAGTGCTGGGATTAACAGTTGTATACCTCTTTGCTAGGCCGACCCTTTCCTCTTGCTGTCAAAGTAATACCTGAGTGTGTTTTACAGCTTTTGCCCTATTTTTATTGCTCTTCTAGTTTGGTTATTTAGATGAGAACATTATATAAATAGGTCTGTTTGGCAGGGTTTTTTTTCTTCTTTTTTTAAATTTGGTACAGGATCTTGCTACACAGCTTGGACTCCTAGTGATTCTCCTGTCTCAGTCTCCCCAGTGCTGAGATTACAGGCATGAGCCGCCATGCCCAGTTTTGGTGGCCAGCACGGCATGCCCCTGGTGGGGCCTGCACATCATGCTGTACTGGGGGGTCGAACCTGGGTTCTTGTACTTGCCAGGCAAGTACTTAGACCACTGAGCTATCTCCCCAGCCCACAGGTTATTCATTTTATGTTATTTTTATTTTTATTTTTTAAAGAGAATAACAAATAGTTAAAAAGAAACGATACATAATTTCACTAAATAAAATGATTGGAATTCAACAGTGGTTGTTATATTGTATATTGTTGTTTTCAAATTAGTTGTTCAGATTACCAGATATAAACATTCTGCAGGTTATTTTTTACTATTATGTTCTTTTGAAGAATATTATCTTATTGGCTAGTATGCAAGGATTAACTCTGAGTAATTTCATTTCTTAACAGTACAGTGCTGTGGACAACAATCCGCTCTCTCTCTATGTCATGCATCCATTTTGGAACACAATAGTCAAGGTAAGATAACTAATAGGTATGTACTTTTCATGTAGTTGTTTTAAGTATTTTAACCTATTTGATAGTGTTAGGGATACACCTTTAAGTTTAGTAAGCTATCTGGATATCCCACACTTTTTCTCTTTCGGGGGAATGTTATGAGACAATATAACAGTGTAGTGTAATTTGGCCTTGAACTCACTGTGTAGCTCATGCTGGCCTCCTGGAGATCCTCCTGCTTCAGCCTCCCTAAAGTTGGGATTATAGCATCTATCATGCCTGACTTGGCATACTATGTGCTTTCTA